AGTTTGGTGGAAGCGTAGAGAAGTTGGGAGACCGTCGGACCCGTCTGTAAGCTGTAAGGTGCTCAAGGATGTTGCCAACGACAAGCGTATGTTGCACTCCTTACCATAAGGAATTTCGTGGGCTTGGGCTGATGCTATTGTCAGACAAGTGAGTGTAAGTAACAACAGTAACTTGCCCAAATCCTTAGCAGGTTTCAAAGCAGTCCCCTCCCACATCAACGCATTTTATCAGCGAATTTTCCAACGATTAAATGTTTCTGGGCATTTTTCTTTCTGGGCTTCTATTTGTTTCTGGGCATACGTTTAAAATATAGTTCTATTAATCTCATCCTTGGAGTGAAAACGATGGCCACCTAAATTTCTTTTGAGATTGAAAAATAGTCAAAAGTCATTCGTAGAAAGATCAGGAGAATAGGAAGATGTTTTGTCCTTTTGATGCGATTTTGTTCAAGAATTACGACTGTCAATCTTGACGAATGAAAAGGTGCGATATCATGATGAAGCATGAATCCGCTAATTTTCAGGTCTTGAAGAATTTCTGGAAGAGAGTTAGGGATGAATCAGTCAGCTGTAAACGTCTTCTGTCGCACTAACTTGATGGCTTTGACCCAATCCTCGCTTCAGCCAATCCTGTGTTTCTGAAGAACACGGCATGTATTATTTTTTTATTTCTCATTGTTTTATCACCATTGTAATTTTGGGCCATCTTCAAAGACTTTTATTTTCTTGGCGCGCTGGAACGTCAAGAAATGATATGTACGTTTCATTGCCAGTCATGATTTCAGAACTATTGCGGTGTCTACTAACATCAAGTAATTTTAGGACTTCTTTGCTGAATCTGACATGATGTGCGTTTTGGTGTTCTGTTAATTTACGGGGCAACAAACGACCAAACTAACTTTTTAGGTGAAGTTCGTGAATAATTTCATGTATAGCTGCGGATCCAATATTAAGCTCCTTCTGTATAATTTCATAGGTACAACAGTTATCACTGACAGCAGTTTTGACAGGTACAGCAGATATCCCCACTTATTGTTGAATGCAGTTATCACCACTTGGCATTTTTCATATGATCGACACGTTTTCTGGGACTACAACTGACAAAGATGTTCCACCCATCATCTGTGTGTTTTTCATCCAGGAGAGAATTTCGGCCTCTACGAATTTCTTTAAACCACCCAAATACATTGTTGCGAAAAGCAGCTTCAATTTCGTATGCGAACAGTAGACATTGAAGACATTCTTTATAGAAAATCATAGTGCGATAATGCTCTCGTGGCAGCTCCATTTTATTTGTTTCAAAATTTATTCTAGGACAGATAAATTGCAGTTGTTGCCATAAATTATCGTCTGTCAACACAAAATCATTCAGATTTGCATATCGAAGAAATAATTTGCTTTAAGTGCATATTGTCAGTCTCTATCTCAAAAATTTCATCGCTACCAACCTATTACCTTATGTTTATTAGTCCAAAGGGGCAATTTGCATAGGACTATTAATTTCGTTTCGCCATTTTGGATTGGTTCACTATAAGCCTTGTTTCACTTTTCAAATTGTTGCCACCAAATATTATCGCCCTGTTCCAATTTTAGTATATGTACTGCCGAAGCAAGAATGAAGTTGATACACCGCAGACTTCATTCGCTATATTAGTAAGTAAAACTTCTGCACTGATAGTAGTTGAGTTAAAATAACAAATTACATAATGATTATTCATGTAATTAATATAAAAAGCTTTGACTAATTCATCCATTTTTAAACAGTTTCCTTTTTAGTCCAAAGGGAATTTTTTTCTGAAGGACTATTATTTTCATTTTGCGATTTTGCGTCGGAACCCTATAAACGGCGTATCACTTTTCAAATCCTTGCCACCAAATACTATCGTCTTGTATTATATTTAAAGAAACTAAATAATGAAGAATCTGCAGAAATGTGTATATGTTTTTCGCACTATGATAAAACAACGGTACCTAGAGCCATCCAATTTTGGATAACGTAATCCTACTCAGAGTATGGGCATCTGGAAGCCCAAATTTGAAATTTAGAACTTGTTTTATTATCGATACATATTTTGTAAAACTTTAACGAATTTTTCATTTACAAACTGAAGAATTTCAAAGCGAGCAATGGCAATGTTGTACAGAAAAAAAACATTTTTTATCTCCAGCGCAGGAGACTGTGTATCGGAAATTCTAAGGATATGCTCATTTTAAATTTATTTTGCGATGTTGCTCTTGAACTGAATTTTATGGTTCAAGTGCGAAGAACATAATATTTAATAATAAAGGTAACACACACAAAATGTTAAAAAAAGCCCCTTTGGACGTAATTTTAAATGATTAATTAAATAATTCCAGAAGACATTTTATAAGCAAAATTTATGAAAATAATTTCATATGGATAAAGTTTCCCCTAAGCTGTCAGACTCTGAATTGCTCAATTCATATTTTTAAATTTTAATTATAATTTGAGAATTAATGTTGAATTCAGTTTATTTCAATTATGTTTTGAAATTAACAGAAAATTTTATCATTAATTTGTCTATAATAATTATTAAATTTTAATAGTCATCAATTTCTATCGAACTCAGAAGTAAGTTATTATCAAATAAAAAAAAACTAATTTAATTGCTATAATTATTCGAAATTTATAAGATTTATATCCTTAAATATAACTGATTTGTAACAACCTCTCTTTTAGCGAAGAGATATTCATTATGAGCATTGTATTATTTTTGTGTGAATTTTGAATTCATTATACTTCATCATTGTAATGAATTTTCTCTTTTCTTACCGTGTTCCTTCTTGATGTAATTGGAAGCATGGCTGGCTGATAGTCAAAAGCTTCATAATTCGAATCCCGGTAGGATATGACTGATTTCTTATCTTTTCTGTTTCCAAAACATATCTAAAATCTCGGCAAGTGGCCCTCGAATTAAAATGTGGTGAACGATAGTTCGTCACCGCATCAAGGTTTTGCAATATCATCTTTCCTCCCCAATCGCGCTTTATGTGGAAGAGTAAGGAATTTTCTCATTAGTTACCACGTATCTTCGGGATGTACTTGGAGGGGACAAAATTCGAATCCTGAGGAGGACATCGCTGGTTTTTCATGTTTCTTGCTTCAACATAATAATTCCACTAATCGTATTCTATAATTAAGATGAAAAGTTTTTACTTATAAGTAACTCCTAACATTCAAATCGTAAAACAATTGTTATTTTTGAAATAAAACAACGCTTGACATTACTAAAGACGTTTGTAATTTATATGTAAATTAATTTTCTTGATATATTTCAAAGATTAGTTTGCCGCCCAACGGGGACAGTGCTTGGTGACTCTGACTGCCACACCGAAGCGCCCGGGTTTGAATCCCAGAGAAGGCATATGTAGTGTGTATAGTGTCTATGCGGCATAAGGGCACTTTAAATATGCGGTGAGCCGTAAATCTTCTCTAGAGGTTGGTGATAGGGAAAGAGGGATGAGAGACCCTCTGACCGGTCTCCCCCCTCGGAGGTAGTCTCTCTCAAAATGGGGGGGGGCGAATTGAGCAAGGTTCTTGCCAACGACTGGCGCGTTTGCCTCTTTGATACAATGAATGTCGTAGTGTTGTGTTGACAATTGTCAGACAACTGAGATTGATAACAGCAAAGATTAGTTTTTGTTGATAACAACAAAGATTAGTGTTGTGTTGACAATTGTCAGACAACTGAGATTGATAACTGCAAAGATTAGTTTTTGCAACTATCGTAAGATCTTTTAAAATTGGGTAAAGGAGCTGAAAATGTAGTCACATGTGCTACTTTATATTCAGTATCAAATGTTGCTCAACCTCGGTAATATCGCATTCTATTTTTTAATTATCTAAATATCAGTAAAATTAAATACATTGTACTTTTTAAACATAATATTAATTCAAACTTATATTTCACATTACATGTTCACTCATTATAAGTTACAGCAATTAACTGATTTTTGAATGTTGCATATATTTTAACTTTTCATACGAAAACTATATCTAGATAACACTTAATGAATTGTGTTGTTTCAATGCACCTATCGATATCCGTAAATAAATCTATCTGCCTATAAACATATATCTATATATAAATAATCTTTATCGAAATTTCCAGCTTTTGGGGAAAATCGTGTTTTTTTATTTATAAAATTCTTATTTCCTGCAACTGCTTTTCAAATTTCGGTTAACAATACGTTTGGCGAAAATCGAAAGAAAGAGTTATCATTTCATATACCAGGCCAAAACAAATTTTAAAGAAAAAAATTAAGAAATAAAGATAAAAAAGCCTGTAAATTGATCTTTTTTAGTTATTGTTATTATTATTATTATTATTAAATGAAGACAATTCCATTATGCGCATCGACTCGATTATAAAAGCGTTTGATCTTTAATGATGGTTCAAAGCTGACGAGTAAAATCCGAAAGAAAAGAGGGGATTACATGACCCTAATCTACCACCACGCACACATTGATTACAGTTATGAAATGGCAGCTTAACTCTCTGCTACTGCTTCATATCATTGTTTCCCTTTTAATCTATACACGTTTGCTGAATTTGTTGGAAACGAACAAAAGCAAGAAGTTTTTCAATCCTTATCTTACGGGACCATACAGGCAAGATCTACAGACAGAAAAAAGGGAGGTATAGTCACGTGATTGGGGAGCCACGCGACAACCGGAGAGGGTTTTTATTGAGTGTCCCCATGGTTCATTAGGCGCAATTTCTCCTGTCCAGAATGATAGCATAAACCGCCACTGCCACATCCCCACCCCTTGTCATTGTTCCGACACTTCGGCGAGCTACCGCGCCTTCCCATTGGACTAGAGCGAGAAACCATCATCCAATACGAGACGCGAGTGAAATCCCGCCCACATCGACTAGAGGACTCTTTACGTCGTTTTCCTCATTGCCCCGTCATTGGTATTTGGCACCTAGTTTCTTCAAGCTCTTCGCGGGCAATAGAGGAGTAAAGTTTTCGAAACTCCATAAAATTGTTTTTGCCTCCCCCCCCCTCTTGCTCGCTTTTTTTGTTTGTTTGCTCGCTGCAGTTATGGTTCGCATCAAGAGACCAATGATCCTCCTATTCTTTTAATCGAAGATCTTTCTCACGTTCAGTTAACTCCACAAGGAACACACTCATTGCCGCACTTAAATCAGTTTTCCGGTGCGGTTGTTTAAAAGTCATGTTGGAGTTCAACACGCCAGCGACAACGGCGGCAAGTTCCATGCTGTCCATGCTTAACATCAACATGGAAGCATCCCGACAGAACTTTCTGCTGGGAAATCCGCCTCTGGCGGCTTTACATTCCATGGCGGACATGAAACCCAATGGGGTAACGCCTTATCCCAGCAGCCAGGCCCTCAAGCCTTCTCCCTTGACACCGACCTGTTCCTCGGGGACGCCCCACGGTATAAACGATATCCTGGGGCGGCCGGTGGCCACTTCGGCTCCAACGCTGGGAACTCTGAGTGCATTGCCCAGACTCAGTCTCGGGATGGGTGCAGGTATGTACTTCGGGGGCCCGAAGCTGGGTCTTGGGGATTTGCCTGGACGACCTCATATTTACTGGCCTAATGTCTTGCAGAGTCAAGCACTTTGGAGGGACAGATTTGCATCAGCGGCTGGTAAGTTTTTTTACTTGAATAGATTGATTATACGTTGGTTAGAAATGTACTTCCATCACAGTTAGAATTATGTAACTGATTATATTTACAGCATATATTTGTTTTAAAAAATACTTCATTAAATGAAGAAAATAAAAATAGGGTACAAAATTAGAATCTTTATGAATGCTGAAGCTAAACATTTTGCACTTCTTAGTTATCTTTTACTGCAGCCTATAGACGATAACTAAAACTGAACTTACTGAAATTGATTGAAATGTAGCAGCTGAACAAAATTTTTATAACAATAAATTAAATAATTCATGTTACGTAATTGAAAATTACATAATATAAATTGTGTAATGAAGAAGTTATAATTTATTTTTAAACTAAACGAAAAATAGTTGTATTTTGTGCTATACTAATAGTTTTAAAGTAAACAATTATGCTCATTTTGGCCAAAATTTACTCGCATGTTATCGGCATTAAAACAAACAAAAAGGCTCATAATTAAAATTATTAATGTAAACCTTTTAAAATATTAAAAAGTTTCAATGCCTATTAATTTTGCTCCAGTTAATGTATTCGTATTAAACAAATATTTCAGTTCGAAAAAGCAAGCAAGTTCAAGGTCTTCATTTCTATAACGTTATTTTCCTTATGTACCGCTTTTCTAAAGCGCTTTTCTAAAGAAAATTAAAGCAACTTAAATACAAATTAATACTAAAAAATATTTGGGGCTTGTACTTGGAATTACATTTGCATTCTGCCTTTGCATTTGTATTTTAAACATTCAAATTATGTTATTATTTTAACTAAATATATCCGCATCTGTACATTGTTAAATAAGCTTTTCCAAAGGGAAAGTTACTAAAAGAAATAAAATTCCATTTAATTTAAACCGAAAGATGAAAAATCGAACACCAATCTGATAATCTTCAGAATTATGTCATAGTTAATAACACAGATAATTAAACCGAATCGTTTTGTCAATGAAATCATGTGAATTAGTAGTTCACTGTTGTTAGTTTGTATGAATGATATATATCGTCCCGACTACCCGAGGCAGGGGGATATATTCATGCGTGGGTCGGATGTAAATATTTTGTATTTGCATAGAATTAGGCTTCTCATAGTTTTGCTGCAATCAGTACTTATATTCTTTAAGAATTTAAAATGTGTAGTTTACAGTTTCAGACAATATGAATTCCAGTTGTAATTGTTAAGTTACATTTTACATGTTCTTTCTAGATTTCTGCTATGTGAGTTTCAGAGACGAACTACTGACATAATCAATCTTAGAAATATAATAGCAAATAACTTTTTAATTAATTAGCTCAGTAAAGATGGATAGAATTTTTCAGCAATTAGGGAATTCCATTTATAATAATAATCTTTACGAATAACAAGTGAACTTAAGCATTAAGGGTTAAGGTATCTTCGTTCTCAACTTAATACTTAATCAACGTTCTCAACTTAATACTTCATGAGACATTTCGATACTTAAAACGTAAAATATTTTATTTAATTGAAGGAATCATTTTTCATTGCATTTAATTGTTAAGAAGATTTTAATGCAAAACCTGTAATTTAATACCTGTCATTAATGTTAATATTAATGTGCCGTAATATATTAATGCATTTATCTTATTTTCATTTCTAACAAAACACTGGCGGAAAATTCTAGAATAAACATTTAGCTTCAAAAAACACATGACTCTGGAATAATCTTCATTTCTTAGAATCTATGAAGTTCTATGCTTAGATGGCAACTATAATTTGAATGTTGATGTACCCTCCCCTTTGACCTCCCTTTTTTACTGGTATATCTCAAGGAATTAAACAAGACAATTTCAAAAATGTATAAATGTTTAAATTAATGATCATGTTGCCATTAAAAGACCTGGAAAAATTGTTTTTCAATTATTTAGTCAGCAAAGCTTTTTGCGGGCTCGGTGCTAGCCTTTTCGATGTAATACTAGATTGCCAACTAAATTCAATTATTGCTTTGCTTTCAATTCAAGCTTTGCCAGCCAATTTCAATTATTTAGTTGGCAAAGCTTTTTGCGAGCTCGGTTTTAGCACTTTAAATGCAATGGTAGTTCCTTGAAGAGCCGATACAAAGTTCATGCAATATAGTTGGAAAATCCGCTTCGATTAATGTTTGTCTTCTTTACTGGTATATGTCAAGGAATTAAGCAAGGCAATTTGAAAAATATATACATGTTCAAATTAATGCTCATGTTGCACTTAAAAGCACTGGAAATTTTTTTTTCAATTATTTAGTTGGCAAAGCTTTTTACGGGCTTGGTTCTAGCATCTTCGGAGCCATAGTGATCAACACGATTGGCTCACCATTTTACTGAAGCATATTATTAATTCAAAGCTTACTTATATTTATTAATAATCTATTAAAACTTCACGGAGCAATTAAGCATACATATTCAGAAAATTCAGCAGCAAGGTGGTTGCCAGTGTTCGTATGCTTGGAGCCAGACATGTTTCTCTCTAAATACATAACGAAATCCGTAAAACAATATTCAATCTATGTTGTTTTTAACAGCATCTTAAACCCTCCAATATATCTAAAATTACTTAGCCTAATACATATATTTTAATCTAAACTGAAAGCATTATACATTGAGCTGTTCCCAATCTTCCAATAAATACGTGTTGCTCTTCATATTTATTTGTGTAAAGATTTTGGATTTCAAGCACACCTATTGTTTTTCTTTATAAATATATATATTTAATACATATGTTATTGGCAAAAAGTGAAATTCTTCTCCATATTATATACAACGTCTAGGGAAAGTCTATAATAATTCGTGCAAATATTAGTAGCTGTAATGAGTGTGATAGAGGATAGTTTCTACCGACTTGGAACTTCTGAAAAAATTTTAAAGCAACTATATACGAGATAACAATTCCTTTTTGATTCTAAGAACTTGCATTAGAATTAAAGGTATTCCTGTCCAATGGAGGTGGCCAAGGAGTCGTCAAGTATAAAACAAAGTGCCGAAATATGATGTTGATGATGTTGCAACAAATAGGTTAATTTTAATTTCTTATTTTTTATATGAAAAAAATTAATAAGAAAGGCATAACTTTTGATTCCTGCAAGTTTCATTCTTCTTTATGAATTTTAAATACAAATTTTTTATTGGCTGTTTCATTATTTTCTCAAAATAACACTTGTATTTTTGAGGAATGAACGTCTTTTAAATAATAGCCTTATCGTGACCTGTTTTTTTATACAAGATCTTGATTAGCTTCTTTGTATGCGAAATTTCAAGTATGCAATGTTTAGTGGAGTTATTTCTACTGCAACAACAATTATATGTTTGTATGAATGTTTTCAGTATTTCTCAAGAAATAGTTGATTTCCTTAAAAGTTTATGAAAGTTAAAAACCTATGAATAAACACGTATTGAAAATATGTAGAATAGCTTTGTGTGATAGTTAAAATTCAAAATTTATCCATAAAAATTGTATACTTTTTTTTTTTTACATAAAACTTCAGTTTTATTTAGATGGATTATAAATAAAATTCCTGGCTTCCATTGTATGCGATATTCTATATTCAGGACCCTTCATTCATCAGATGTAATGTGTTATCATTTATTTTTGTATATTTAAATATTTGGAAAACATATTTTCTACTGTACTTGATTTTATTATAAATAAGGTAAATTAGCAAACCTTACTATTATTAGTTCCCATTTCAGTTCTATTATGCTTTTAGCTAAAAGAAAATACTATTTTATTTATTGTAAAAATTCGTTTGCACTGAAGGTTCTCTGTCTTACCATTTATCTTTTTCTTTCTAATTTCTATAAATTTTTTAAAATAATTATTAGAAGGCAAAGCGTATGTTAAGGTGTGTTCAGTTAAGTTCTTTATGAACCATTTTATCATTTCCTCAAACTTCCTTTGACGCACTAATGAATAGTGTTACAGTTAACAAAACTTCTCATTAATTTTTCATTTGCTTAAAAATGTTCAAAATTTCTCCAAATTTTCTCTCCGAATTGGCAGTGGTCTTCTCCCCCCCCCCGGATTAGTTTGACTTGTGAGTATTTAAATAGTCCATCGCTCTTAAAATTAACCAGAGGAGTCTTAAAATGCTATTAACGAACTCTGTTATTTAAATTTTTAGGAGTAGAAAAGCTAGAGCAATATATATTTAGCATGACTAGCGTGCAAAACTTAGCATAGCCTTTCACATAATTGTTGTCTTCCATTAAGTTTGAAGGATATAAAGTTTAGTAATTGTTTTTGCTATCCTAAAGTGTATCCAAACTTTAGATAGGCTGGCAGCGAATTATCGCTATTATAACAACTGAAACTTGAGAAGGGAGAAAAAGACCCTTTATTTAGAACTAAATAAGAACAGATGGTACACTTGGTGCTTACAACTCAGCCAATCACTTGTGGAGCGATAATTTAAAGTAACAGTAAGTCGAATGTAAAATTTAATTCAAAGAAGCTAGTAACCAAAGGCTACTTAGATCAATTATCGCCAAGTTGGCTCAAAACATAACCGGCGTGAATATTCAACTATCGGAAATTATAAAACAAAGCCGAAGATTACAAATCTTATCTGATTTAGCAACCTAAGTAACGTAGCCTTGAGAGGCAGAATACGCTTTGTCTTATTGTAAAAACCTCACCTTAAAAATATAAGCGAACTGATTTGAATTCTGGCTGGAAAACAGAAGGAAGATGTGACAGCAATGATCCAAAACTTAAAATAACTAACATAAAGGAACTTTACAAGATACTTTGCAAAATAAAGTTATGAGGCTTTCTTTGGTCTGGCCAGGGTTAATCAATTAAAAACCCCTAGCGAACGCGAAGCGAATTATTGCTATGTCTGAAGTAACGCCAAAGTCAAAGAAAGGTTTAAATAAACTTTCTGTTTAAACAGAACTTTCTCACAGAACATAAACTCACTTTCTTGTGCTAACAAAATCAACCACAACTTGTGGTAATGTAACTAAACGAACAGTCAAATTCAA